ATTCGATAGACATGTGCCTGGATCTCCTCTGAGGCAATTGCAGAATCGGAGGAAAACACGCTGTCGCCTGCAAAGGATGCAAGGAGGGCAGAGGGTTATTTGAATTTTTGAAAACTGCTAGTAAAGCATTTCAGGAAGGTGTCAACATAGAGTAAGTTGCATAGTCGGATGTCATTTCATATATATATATGAAATGACATCCGACTATGCAACTTACTCTATATATATATTATATATTCTATATATATATTCAAAATGGGAAGAAAGGTGGACAATGTAACAAATAATAAATTGAAGGAAATCAAAGCTACTACCAAACCATGGTTTTTTCTTGTCGAAAAAGGACCGAGGAAACAGTTTTGATCAGACTGTGAATAGGGCATTGCAGGCACATGGAGACTGCCTAGTCCAACATGTGGAACATGTGTGGTACACTTAATGGTGAAACATTTTGTTTGTGTGGTCACAATAAAGTACTGAGGACAGTGCTTATTATCAAGCAATCTGCTTGGATATCTGGAAATGATGGGGATATAGAGAAATATTTTAATTTTTTACATTCACCTGATTTATTAAAGATACAAATAGTTTCAGTTTTTATGGGGGGGGGGGGTTGCCCTGCTCTCTTCATTAAAGGGGTCCTAGACTCGCAAGGCATCGCCACAAATTCTGATCAAAAGCAGAAAACAGTTTATCTGCCATTTTCGACTGGCACAATTCAAAATAGACGAGATAAAAAAAAAATTATATCATGTAAAAAGCATTAGTGTGAATCATCATTTTGATAATTCTAAATAGATAGTCTTAATAAAGATTCAGTACAAACATTTTAGCAAATTACATTTAAGAGGACAAACACAATGGAATAATAATTGAAAAGGATAGTAGTGTGTTTCTAAGTGACCGGTGGTTTCATAATTTGTTGGATTCGTGAGTAGTGGTCGTTATTAGATAATAGAATGTCTTAAACTGCTAAAGGAGTCTTATAATCTAGCATTGTTAATGACTGTTTATTGATTTATATAAGCTCAAAAGTCTGCACATGCATGTACACATAAATTAGAAATGATTCACTTTTTGTAAATGATGGTTTTACTTACAATTTACACATTTGTTGCAAACAGCAAATCTGTGAATGGAACAATCATATATAAAAAGTGCATATACACAACAGAGTCGAGTCTATCGCTTCTCACAGCTCATCGGAAATTCCAGCTTTTATGTAATTTACAATAAATTTTTGGCAGACCTCGATGATCACTCACCCTGGGTATTGGCAGTCCGAGGTCCGACTTCCGTCCAGGTACTGACTAAGGTTGGGCTCCTATCAACAGCTAGATCATTTCAGCCCCAAACTTAATTAGTTTTCAAATACAAACTCATTCATACTCTTAAATACATTCTTTCCTATTTACATATAATTTACTCAGAGTCGTGGAGTACTCGATATTACTAACTACCTAATTGAGGGTCCATGAAGTATTCAATATTCTGCCATTGGCCCTCTCACACTACATTTATGCCAATAAATACAGGGTGAATTGCTACTCGTGCTACAAACTTCTCCAGTAGATTCTTCACCCTAAAATGAACAAAAAAGTTCATATTGTCCATGGTCCGATTCTCAACCATTTCAGAGTAATTTCGCTTTTTATCGATTTTGAAAGATATCACGTCCTGGCGTCGGAAAATCGTGATATCTTTTAATCTAAACATTTCTCTTAAAATCTATAAGCACCGTTGAAATCCCCGTTAATTTTTAGAGAGAATCAAAATCATAATTCCATTGAAATTTTTTAATTTAATTTAATGCCCATTTAGTATGTAATGCTTAAGAAGTTTACAAACAGCTAGAAGGTCAAGGAAGAAAGACCCAAACGTTTTGCCACCTTCATCTTCTTATTGAAAAATTAACGGGGATTTCAACGGTGCTTATAGATTTTAAGAGAAATGTTTAGATTAAAAGATATCACGATTTTCCGACGCCAGGACGTGATATCTTTCAAAATCGATAAAAAGCGAAATTACTCTGAAATGGTTGAGAATCGGACCATGGTCAATATGAACTTTTTTGTTCATTTTAGGGTCAAGAATCTACTGGTGAAGTTTGTAGCACGAGTAGCAAGTCACTCTCAAACATTAGCAATCCTTGAACCACCATTTTTTCTCTTTTTGTCATCAACATCTTGGTCTCACAACCACTAAATAAGAAAATGACGAGTGCGTTGGAAGCGTTATTAAATCAGGTAGTTTTCCTCAAATTTGCTGCCTTCTGAGACTAAAATTAGAAACTCTGGATTACTTTATACACTTTCCGATTTACACAATTTTCCACTCTTTTTGTAGTTCTGGCTGAAATAAAACACAAAAAATTAGCCCAAACATTTTGCCACCGTCATCTTCTTATTGAAAAATTAACGGGAATTTCAACGGTGCTATTAGATTTTCAGAGAAATGTTTAGATTAAAAGATATCACGATTTTCCGACGCCAGGACGTGATATCTTTCAAAATCGATAAAAAGCGAAATTACTCTGAAATGGTTGAGAATCGGACCATGGACAATATGAACTTTTTTGTTCATTTTAGGGTGAAGAATCTACTGGAGAAGTTTGTAGCACGAGTAGCAATTCACCCTGTATTTATTGGCATAAATGTAGTGTGAGAGGGCCAATGGCAGAATATTGAATACTTCATGGACCCTCAATTAGGTAGTTAGTAATATCGAGTACTCCACGACTCTGAGTAAATTATATGTAAATAGGAAAGAATGTATTTAAGAGTATGAATGAGTTTGTATTTGAAAACTAATTAAGTTTGGGGTATTAAGTATATTCAATCCGAGCACACACTAGGAACACAAATTATCCTTACTATATACAATAAAACAACCCTGCTTCCTCCAAGAATCGTCGTTGAAGATACTCTATGCCATGTTGAAGCTCTCATATCGGAAAGCATCCCTACACACTCTCTATATAGAGCCAAGGAATTGCACCCCCGATTGGAACACATCCAGCAACCTTTTTACATGCCAGACACGTACTTGAGCCCAAAAGTAATTCAGTGTGTTAACATTGCATGGCCTATCCTTAATTGGATGAAGATGTCCTATTACGACGTCCTCTGGGGGAGCCATCTGTTGATAGTGCTCTTGATATAGTATTGCTGATGTAATTAATTCTACATTTAATATAACATAACATTGTACTAATTCCACAGAAATTTGTTTATTTTATTAATATTATTATTAATTAATTATTAGTATACATTTAAAGTATTTGCCCGAGACCAAGAGGCTCCCCCCCCATCATCACATGCACCAATACAAAAGTAGATCAAATTCATACAATTGGTTTTTTGGCATTTTAAAAAAAAATTATTTTGCAACAACTGTCTTTGAATCATAAAACTAGACGATGATTGAAAAACATGTTTCATAAAATTATTTGTTAAAAAATTATTCATACATTGTAGACTTCACTGTTGAATCGTCAGGTTTCGGTTATAAAAATTAATAAATAAATAAGAAATGGCAACAATTTGGAGGGCATAGAATATGTATCACACTTAAACATCCATCACATTGACAGTTTAGGAGAGTTGATCCAGTCTTGAGAATTCATGCGAGGGCCTCATATGCACTCATAAGGGAAAAGCTTTTCTGTGATTTTACCATTCTGAGCTTATTATCTGTTATTTTCCATGGGTATCACAATTTTTAAGCATTTCTAATTCTCGATGTGGTCCCATTCTGACAAAATTTAGCTTGATGGTCTTAGTGATTTGCAGATGTAAAAACACCGGCACCCTTGAGGGTTCGTATAACCTCGTAGTTGAAATACCCTCGTAAATAAATAAATAAAAATATTTCACAGATCTTGATGATCTCATTAACATGCCGAGTTTGGGGCCTTCCTATGGATAATGACGTTGGGAGAAACCTTATCATTCTCCATTTAAAAATAAGTTCTGTTAAAACTACATTTCAATTTGTCCATTCTGGAAACAATATTAACCCTTGTGTGCATATGTTAAGGTTGGACTTTGACTTGCTAGTAAATATATCGGCAAACTGATTTACAAAAAAACTTTGATAAAAGAGTCCTAATAAATTCTACATTTTCTACTACACTAGTTCTATTGAATGCCATTCCTTAAAAAGAAATATATAATATGTTTTTATTCAATCCAATTGATCAAAGTAATGATTACTTTATTTATTATGCAAAGTATGGTTCAGTTGAAAAAATTAGCGTCAGATGATCCAGAGGTCATGGGTTTGAATCCCGCATTGTGACAATAATTTTTCAACTCAACCATACTTTTCCTAATAATTAAAGCTTAAATTTTTTTTAATGCACATTATAACAACTTAAATCTCAATTTGTTGAATTAATTTCATGGATTGACTGAACATTAAGCCAGTAAAATATTGAAATTGACTAAATAGCCTGATATTGTGTAACAATGTTGCAAGAATGAAATAATAGAATTCAACGTTCAAACAAAAAGTAAAAAAATTCATTCACCTATGTTCTCCAAATTCTCAGGGCATTGAGCAGAATAATAGTGTCAGGTGTCATGATGTTATTCACTAGCCCTTAAAAAANACATAACAAAAAAAAATATATATATATATATATATATATATTTATTTATTTATTTTTGAGCATCAGCAGCACCACATTTATAAATGTAGTGAAAGTCTCTCTGAGCTTGTGTTGCTTTGAATTTAAAGAAAAAATCCACTTTGTTTTAATGGTTTTTGACATGGGCTTCATTCATTTTGCCTGCCTTAACCTAAGAACTGGAGCTAGCTAGGCTTTATCAAATTGTTCAAAAATGTGAGTTTTGCGTGGAAAATAAAAATGAATTGTGTAAAAACAACTTAAATATTAGATATGTGATAATCCAATACATTATCTATTAGTCATTATGTTTTTATAACCTATTAAGTTTATATCAGTTAAAAATGTTGAAAGTACTTTTTGTTATATTCTATTCACATTCAGTATTTCTTGTTATTTAAACATTTTGTTTATAATAGTGACAGAAAAGAGAGAAATCATTATACAATTTTTGTTAGTATAAATAACTACTTTTTGAGAAAGAGGTAAGGATGGTGTTTATTAAAATAAATTATTTTGTTTTTATTTTGTAGATGGAGTTGCAGAAACAAAATTAACTGAAGTAACCAGTAGGGTGCCAGTAATAGAGACAAAGCCTAACCCAACTATACCTGTGCCGCACCCTTTAACTACAACCCTAGCTCCAACTACAACCCCAGCTCCGACTACAACCCCAGCTCCGACTACAACCCCAGCTCCGACTACAACCCCAGCTCCGACTACAACCCCAGCTCCGACTACAACACCAGCTCCGACTACAACCCCAGCTCCGTCTACAACCCCAGCTCCGACTTCAACCCATGCTCCAGCACCAACCACAACCACAGTCCCTTCCTCAACCCCAACTCCAGCCACTTCCACAGCCCCGACCCCAACTTCACCAAAACCAAAAACTTGGGACTGGGATGTTGAAAAGAATGGAACTGTATGCATTTTGGCCAAGATGAACATAAATTTGGACCTGAAAAGGGTAGAAGAACATAGGGTGAGTTCTAAAACTTATTTGGTTTAATTTTGGCATGTAAAAAAAAATCCAGTCACTCATTGATAGCTTCAGTGTTAAAAACTGATAGTTTATCTTAATTGGATTTCATTACCAGAACTCTGTCTAGTTGAAGCAGATTCTGGTATAATAAAGCGTTCAATATTCATATTAAATCAAAGCTTTATATTTTGTATTAATTACTTTTAATTTACAATATAAATATTGTATTTGGTGTCTTATTTTAAAACATTAAATATTTTTTTAGGATGTTGTCTTCAATGTGCCAAAGAATGCAATAGCGACGGGACTCTGTGACAGTAAACAGCAGGCTCTCATACTGACATGGGATACGAAGTCGAATTCTTCAAATTCCTCAAATATGCTCACTTTCTGGTTCCAGAAAAATGACACCTCTAAAAACTATTACATTAACAGAGTTGAAGTCAAACTGTATAACAAGAGTGAGTATTTTAACAATTTTAGTTAATCTCTATTATATCTATAAAAGCAGTTTTTAACCCTTTTAATTTTATTACAGACGTAGTCTACAATGGAACTAAATATAATTTAACAATGTATGAGACAAAGGAAAACACTTCTTACAGTTGCTCTTACTCTAGCCCAATCGAAATCAAAACACCAAACAACACGCTCACCATTTCTCTTAGTGACATCCATCTCCAGGCGTATCTTAACGATTCCGCCGCCACTGCAGATTTTAAACAAGGTAATAATCTTAACAGTATTATTTGATTTCATTGTAATATAAAAATCAATAGGGCCAACAATTACTTCAGTAGAGTTTTTTTTGGACCATTTTAATGATATATCAGTAGAAGTTGGTAAAAATAATTCAAGAAAATTAATTCAGAAATTAGAAAGAACAATAATAAAAGCCAGACAAGGGCAATTCCATAATATAAAATTCTAGGGTTGATGTGGGAATTGGACCCACTACCATGGAACTACACGCCAAGAGTCTGACACTAATCATGGCTACCCGTGAATTGCAGACCCTTGATTAACATTAACTTATGATCATATTAAAATTTGACTTTTGGAGTTGAACAGTTGATTTTAAAACTAGCAGAGCAACTACTTTATTATAGACTTTTCCAATCACATACCAACTATGTAATTTAGTAGAGGTAGAGTAAATAATCTTCTTGCAATACGGTTGCAATGTGTATTTTATTTTAAAGAAATACAGAATGCCTTGAGATAAGAGTTAATTCCACGGTTGAGCTCATAAGTCAAAAATGCTTGTATGTCAAATCAATTTTCCTTATTGAAATATTTGTAAAATCCTGACATTTTATAGTTTTTGGGAAAAAAAGGAACACAAATGCTCAATAATATTGTATGTAGGTATACTATAAACATAATGTTACTAATCTGTTTTATTATATATTTTTTTAAAGCATATTCTTGTGCACCTGACTCACCCGATCTCGTGCCCATCTTGGTGGGAGTCGCTTTGACCTTGTTGATTATCACTGTGCTCATTGCGTACCTTTACTCAAGGAAGAGGAACCAGGCAAGGGGATATCTCAGCATGTAAAATTGCCGGTATTATGTGTAAAGACTGGTACTTCAGGGTGGAGATATTAAAAGTATAACCAGAAAATTGTGATTTTAAAAGCCGCCAGCTTCTTCATATTCATCTTAAACATTAATCTTCGGTCAGAATACCTTAATGGAATTGTAATTATTTACTTTTTATTTGTCATTTTAAGCATAGAATAAAAATAAAAATGCACCAGAGCATTAGAATTACCAAATGTAAAGTCACTCTATTATAATGTTTCTATTATTAATTTCTAGGTTTTAAGTAGTGAGAACTGATAATTTGTGCCAGTTTTAAGGCGAGTGATAAAACAGTATGTATTTTCTTTCTGTATACTGTTTTCTTTGTTTTTTTTAATGAAAGATTACTTTATATATATATATTTTTGAGAGGTTTAATATCTCTTTATTGTAGCTAAGTAAACATGTGATCATGATTGTAAATGCTATTTACTAAATAAAGATGATTTTTGTTTATTTTTTTTTATTTTCCATAATAGCTAGGTACGTACAATGTTCACTTAAAATGTAAACACAACATTAATAATTTGTTTACCTTTATAGTGTTACTATTCCTTTTATACTCTTTAGATTAAAAATAAAGAAAACCAGTCCAATTTCAATTAAAATTAGTTTTTTTATTAAACAAATTTGAGTAAATAATTAATTTTTTTTTTTTAAGTCATGGTCAAGATCTCGGCTGGGCAGATCTGAGACCCTTTTTTCGAACTCCAGTTATGGTATATGCTATTTTATCAACAGATACAAAACAAGAATGACTAAACTGTTGATTATACATACAGTAATTCTTACAAACAGGCCAACCACAGAAGATGGCAATGTCAGAAGTAAATTTAGCAAAAATAGACAGACAGGATGATCAAGTTTTGCAGATCTCAACCAATACTTCACAATGGTTCTAAAATAAAATAATATTTCACTGTGAGAAAACTCACACTAAAATCATTCCATGTTAAACATCTGCAGTTATGTTGAATAAACGATAGTTGAATTTTCACAGCACTTGAAGGTTCTGAGACTCAATTATTTTACCACATCTCTGATTAGTACTGTCTAATTTTGTAGTTTTAATGGCTCCAAATTGTCATTGAGATTGTTCAATCAGATCATGGCATACCACAAGATTTGCTCTCAACAGAGCTCAAGTGTGTCCTTCGTCCTAGACCCATGAAGATGAACCAGCCACTTCAACCAAATGTAATTATTTGAAGATCGTGAGATGCGGTCTGGTGTGACATAGGTTTTAGAAAAACATTTCCTTTATCGTGCTAACGTTTTGATCTTTATTGAGATCATCTTCAGGGCTCAAAGTGTTTGTTTTCTGTGTAGATGTGTCAGAGGGCACTCTCACATACAAGAATGACACAAAAACAAACACTGTGAGCACTGAGAATGCCAATAACACTTGAGCACTAAAGAAAATGTTTTTCTAAAACCTACATCACACCAGACCGCATTTCACGATCTCCAATTAATCTTTAATTATGGCTCTAAATACTATACATTATTATTATCATTGTTAATTGATTTATAAAATGTGATTACTTAAATTATCAGAATAATTATTCTTCACAATTCCACATCACAAGAATAGCACCACACTTTATGCCCTGAAGATGACCCAAATAAAAATTGAACATCAGCAAAAACAAAAAAATGAAAAAGGTGTTTTTCTAAATTACCTCATTCTTGACTGTTCCTCACAAATGCAACAAATTAAATTAAAGATTAAAGTCATCAGCTAAATAAGTCATTAAAGTATGTTGGAGCAAAAAAAAAAGAAGCTTAATAGCTAAATTGTTCATTAGAATCATAAAAGAAAATTGCAATAAATGATTTTAATAAAAGCTTAAATGGGATTGAATTTTTTCCTCTGACGATTATGTTCAATTGTGGGTTTTAAAAAAGCACCAACTCCTGGAGCATGTTTTACTAAAGTTGCATACAAGAAAGAGTCCCTTACAAAACAAAAGCTTCGGGAATACAATAATACAAATTTTAAATTTAATTAAGGGGATCAAATGCATAATTGTGATGTAGGAACTTACGAAGATTTCCATTTATTTATTTGGACATTTAAAAATTCCTGTTCATCTGATCCTCCAGCAATGAGTGTCATTGCTGTTTAAAACTTGATAAATATTTAAAGCAACAGAAATTAATGTAATGAATGATAGCACAAATTATAAAAATTAGGTTTTTTGTTTTAATTACATAAATTGGTTCAATTCAATGGTGAACTTATACATATAGCCATATAAAATACATTATAAGGGAATTTGCATGATTTGAAATTTTCTTCTTCTAGTAATTTATTGGAATGTCCAATTAACAATACACTTAGAAGCAAATTGCAAGTTATGTAGTTAATAAAAATTCATGAAGACCAATTGGACCAATGTGGCTTATTCATGCTTATGATGTACTATATCCAATATACAGTATATAAATGTGTAGAAATTAGTGACTGTTAATCGATAGTTATTCAGATATTGTGAGATGTGGTCAGGGTGTGATGTAGGTTTCAGAAAAACATTTTCTTTATCGTGCCAACGTTTCGATCTTTTATTGAGATCATCTTCAGGGCTCAATAAAAGATTGAAACGTTGGCACAATAAAGAAAATGTTTTTCTGAAACCAACATCATACCCGACCGCATCTTACGATATCTGAATAAATACAGTATAAACTATCCACTCTAGGATAGTTTATATTTTATTTTGTTTTGAGAATTTATCGTTTTCTATAATATAGGTATGCATTTTGATTAAGAATAGTTATTTTTCATATAATTTTGCAATGGTAACAGCAACCCCCAATGTTTTAATTTGAAATTGTTAAAAATAATACATGGGGTACAAAACGACGGGAATGCAAAATCTATAATATCATTTCAAAAGTCTACTGGTTTTCAACATCTACTTTTGACAGTTTTGTGTTTAAGTTAAACACTCTATCCTTTACATGCTTTAAAACGTCTTCAGCAAGTTCTTCTACAGTTGTATACCTGCACTTTTGAAAACTGAAGGTGTCCATCAAGAATCCCATGACTTGATCCTGGAACGTAATATGTTGATCATAGTAATAAATAATGTTGCAATATCCTGATAGATTACCTTGAAAAACTGACAGATTTCACGTAAATTGTCATCCGGACCTAGAAAACCCCATGCCATCAGTGGTGACATCTGTTCAGAAATGGCGTAAAAATGTGACATAAATCCGTTGGGAAAAGTTAGCATTCTTCTTTTTGCTTTAAGGACAGACCAAACGGCTGTGGCAAGAGCCTGCACACAAAAAATGAAAATAAAATCATTGTTTAATTAATGTAATAATTAATGATAAAAAGCCTACCGATTCCTTAAAACCGTTAGATAGCCATCGGTTTTGCACAACAGCTGTGACCGAGGAAGGCGGCACCTCAAGATCTTCAAAAGCATCCATAAGAATGTAGTCCAGTACAACATCATAGAACGTCATTGCCTTAACTCCCTTCAGGCTAAGTTCTTTCTCAATGTCAGACCAAATTTTACCATCTGAAGAAATAAAATGGAGCATTTCTTCATATGCAATTAAAAAATCTTTAGGGTCCTGCGATAAACAAAAAAAAAAGGATCATACCATTGGAAATTTTTTATTATTAATCACACAACCTTATCTGCATAAAGTAGGAGGTCGGCCAGTATTTGCCTTCCAGAGTCTGCAAACCATTTCCAAGTTTCCTGGCTCTTGAACATCCATTGAAATGCTAAACGAACACAATGAAGTTTACCAAGGTATTCCAAATCTGAACTGCAGTGGACCATTTCAGTGCGAAGACATCTTTAAAACATAAATGAGGAAATTTAATAAATTTTATTATTATTTCACTGTAAATGAATTATTTTACCTGTATGGGATGCCAAACTCTTCAAACTGTTTCATAGCAGATTGATAAAGAGCAAGTTTTTCGGTGTCTGTTGTAAAATCTAAATATTCATCAAATTCTCTCAGATCGGCTATCTGAAAAAAAATTAAAATTAACAATGAGTTTTTTTACTGCTTTGTTGCAAATGTAAATCAAATTAAGCTTTCGAATTTATTTGAAGCCATCCTAAGGGCTTTTTTGCTTCAGATCCGTGTTGTTCAATGCTGTTGAAAAAGGCCATGATATGATGAATCCTCAGTTGAGTTATAGATTATAATTATTATTACTACTCATCTAGTACTCAATTGAGGTTGAGATCAAAATAAAGCCAAAAGCAACATTGAAACATTGGTTTTAAGCATTTTTATTATTATTTTTTTTTTTTAAGCTTTTGAGGAATATATCCCCTTCAACAGGACTATGAAACTAATTAATAATGTTATTGTGTTAATCTTGTAAATTATTAATAATACACTGAGAGGTAAAAAGTGGCTACCCTCATTTTTTTTATTAAATACTTGCAATTGTTATAATTTTTATTCTTTGTTGTTTACTGGATATTTCTAACTTGTTGAAGTCATTGCTTGATCTCAACACCAGTTTCAACCGATTACGGAGTACACTCAAAACAATAAAATGATAATCTCTCTGAAATGTGACTCTATGGCGACCTGATCCATGCCTTTTGCTTAGCCTCCAGTATCTTGGTAGCAATGGAAGACACTGGTTGTTCTGGGAACGTAAAAAGCCATGTCTTCTTCAGCCTTTTTCCATCTTCCAACAGTGCTATGAATCTATCCGAAACTATATCACTTAAAACCATCACTCAAACAAATTTGAAATATAAAAATAGTACAACTTAAAATAATCAAACCACAAGACGTTAGATACAAGCTTTACAGAAAAACAAAGAAGATATTGACTATTCGAAGATTTATTTACAAAATCCAATTGTAAACACGTGAGAGATTTTATGTTTTGATTAATCCTAATTCTTTAAAATGGATCAAATATTGTTGTAAGATAATCAATGGAGGATTGCCGAAGATATAATTAAAAATACTAAGGGTGGCCATCATCATTAAAAAAAATCTATCATTTTTCCTTTATTGGAAGGTGTGAAGTATTATACTTCATACTGTCAGTAATTATAGAGGAACATCCTTTACTGACACTATTTCTAAGATATTTACGGGGATACTACTGAATAGATTAGAAAAATGGTGTAATTTAAATAATATCTTGGTAGAGAGCCAGGCAGGATTTGGGAAAAAATATTCCGCCGTGGATAATATTTTTAGTTTAACTAACATTATAAAATTGAAATTATCTGTAAAATGTAGAAAAGTTTACTGCTGCTTTGTTGATTTTAAGTCGGCGTTCGATTCGCCAAGCAGAATGGCAATTTTCTATAACTGTATAATTATGGGATCTCCAGTAAGTTTATCGAGGTATTAAAGTCGTTGTATAGCGGGACAGAGAGTGCTGTGTGGTGTAGGGGAGAGGTCACAAGTACCTTTGAAACTAGAGTAGGTGTAAGGCAGGGCTGTCTGCTTTCCCCTCTTCTGTTCTCGCTGTTTATTAACGATTTACCCGAGTTTTTGGGTGGCGGTCTGTTTGTCGGAGCATCAAATGTAAACTGTTTTATGCAGATGATGTGGTTTTGATGAGTACTGAACCAGTTCAACTTCAAAAGATGTTAAACAGGTTGGGAGAATACTGCCGAATTTGGAATTTGTCAGTAAATTTGAATAAAACTAAGATTATGGTGTTTAGAAATGGCAGTAGACCATCAAAGAATGAAAGTTGGTTTTTAGAAAATGAAAGAATAGAGGTAGTAAAAGAGTACAAATATTTAGGTGTAACGTTGACTCCTTTACTTTCCTTCAATATGCATTTGGCCAATAAACTTAGGGTTGCTAAACAAGCATTGAATATAACCTAGAACGGTGTTCTCAATAGAGGAGATGTTCCTCTAAAAAGCAAATTTAAAGTTTTTAATTCCGTCTCTGATGTGATCCGGGCTGTGATGTGTTATGCGTCACAAGTATGGGGCTACCATCAGTATGAAGTGGTAGAAAAACTTTTTTGTTTTTTATTAAGAAGTTGTTTGGCACTCCCTATTATACACCAAGTTATTTTCTTTATTTGGAATTAGGCTTAAAACCTTTGTTTGTGTATACGTTGGAGTCATTTAAATTATATACAGCGGGTTTTGGGTCTGAAACAAGATCGTTTGCCCTACCTCTTCGCTCAGGAGATAATAAAATAAAAAAATTTTTTGGTTTAAAGAATTGGAAGTGTTGTCTTCCGGACTGAACTGTAGTTCTCGTATAAATTTTACAGATGCGAAAGATTTCAAAATTTGGGCAGTACAATTATTGCAGGCAGTAGAAACTCAGTTTAAGAAAAGTGCAATATTCTACATACCATTTAATATACAAGAAATTGAACTTCGATCTTGGGGACAACAATTACTTGTATAAGGAATACAACTGGAATTTGATCAAGGTTTTTTTTCGCGCTAGAGGTCAATTATTATATTTAAATTTTAAGCCTTGGCTGGAGGAAAGAGACCAAGCATGCTATATATGTAAACTAAAAATGGTGGAAGATTTGTTTCATTTTTTGGCAGTTTGTCCAACTTTGGAGAACGTTAGGTTAATTTGCTTCCACAGATCTCGTTTGACATTCCGTGAGTATATAGAACTGTTAAATGGGAAAGATTGGTTTAGTTTGTATAGATGTATTGTAGATGCGCTGAATTGCAGAGATAATTTTATGTTAAGTTTATAATTTGTATGTTAATTTAAGTTTTATTTGAATGTAAATATGTAAGGGTCGACTGTCAGACGACTAGATCATGCCATTACAAGTATTATTTTGTAAAAAAAAAAATGTAAAAATGTAATACTTTGTTTTCTTTTCTAAATATACTTTTATATAAAAAAAATTAAATTAAATTAAAAAAACTAACTTTTTTATATACTAAGGGACCACTTTTGTTTGTCTTTCAGTGTATTTTCAAAGTCTGTAGATGATTCTTTGAAACTCGACAAAGTTTCTTTTCTTTTAAATTGACTTTATCCTTGATTTTTAGTATTAAATTATAATATTAATGGCTGGTAATAATTAGGTTGGTGATTTATTCATAAAGTTCACTAAAAATAGTTAAAATAAACGACATAAATAAACCTGTATCACAGGAAAGAAAAATTAATTCGAGTAATTATGTGTAATGCAGTGTTTGTACTTTTTTTTATTCTTCAAAATGTCTAATTTTCTAAATATGAAAAATGTTGTAGTTGAAAAAAAGTATGTACATAGTATTTATTAATAGTAGCTTGAGCGCTATGTCTGTATAATATGTATACTTGATATATATATAAAAAAAAAAAATCCATTATAATTAATGTGTTATAATTTATTGGTGTTTAAGTAAAATTTGCATAATAATTTTTATTTCATGGTAAGTAATAATAACTGAATCTATACTTATGGTGTAAGGCCAGATTACTAACTAGCAACCTATATATTAAAAAAAAAATCAAAAGTCTTTATAATGTTGTATATTTGTGTTTAAACTCAAAATTGAATTCTCAGTTGATTATTGAAAATCAGCAGTCATGAAGCTTATGCCATCTTCCAAAGATTGTCTGCCCTAAAAACAAAATAAAAGGCAAAAACAAAAATACAAAAAAAATTAAAAAAAAAAAATTCAATGTAAAATGGGAATTTTATATGCAGTGTGTGTAGATTTTTCATTCATTACCTCATCCTGAGCGGAGACAAAAGATTCAGCCGAGGAAAAGGTATCACCATGGAAGGAATCTTCTCGGATGGACCCATCAGCACGAAAAAGCACAGATCTCTGTCAATGAAATCGACCAGTTATAGACAATCAAATGTGACTGCTTAATTGAAATACAAGGCAGAAAACCTGATCGAGAAAAAGAAGCTCGCACTTTCTCTGCAGCTTGTAAGCAATTTCCAAAAGCTGTTGGAGGTCTGATGCAAACTGAGCTTCTTCTTGGTCGGTGAGACAAAGAGGGCCAACGGTACCGTTTTGATAAGCAGCAAGAGCATCCTCCCAGTAGTTAATCCCATTGTCTAATGCTTCCATTCCTGATGAACAAATCAAACAGTTATATTTTAACAAATATACAGTTATAATAAAAATTGAAAGATTATGGTTTTAATCGAACAAAAAATTGTAATAGTTAAGGCACTTTTAGAAGACAATTTTTGGATAAATAACATAATGAAAAATAGCACTTTTTGTTACAAATTAATAAGAAAAAAGTGCGATATTTGATGTTTGAATGAAAAAGTAGATTTATACAATTTTACTGTGCCTTGTAAGTACGTGAATTGGATATCTTAATGGAAAGGACTGCTGGGTCAGCATCATGAATTATTCCAGAGATGTAAATGAGATTAAAACAAAGTTGTAATACAAATTAAATTGTACACCTATCCTAAAATATGTGAAATGCGTAATTTAATAATTTAAATTTAAAAGAACTGAAAATAACTTCTAAGTCATACATAATTTAAAAAAAATGTCCTTGAAGTCTGGGCCTAGAAGGGAAAAGGTCCTATTGCAAGGTTGCACAGTCATACCAATATTAAATATGGACACCTTATAATGGGGTGAGACCATGCAAGTGCCCGTTGTGTGGAGAGGGAAAAAAAAAAAAAAAAAAAAAAACCATCCCGAACAAGTTATAAGTGACATAGAGGCATGACAGATCGCTGATCTAATATTTCAGGGATATAAATATTTTTAATTGAACACACCTTTATATGAGTTATTTATTGGAATGAAGGTATTTATTTGTGAGGATGATAGAGCCTATCCCCAACTACCCCAAGGAATATTGAGTATGCTGGGGTAGTGTGAATGCAATTTATTGGCGTGAATGGAGGGGCTTATCACCAATCACCCCGAGGAACATTGCGTACTCTGGGGTAGTTTGAAAGAAGTCTGGTATGTGAATGTAATTTATTAGCTTGAATGTGGGGTGTATCCCCAATTACTTTGAGGATTATTCTGAGTCTGCTACCATTGTATTAAATAACATTATAACTGGGAGAAATATGAAAAAAAAAAAAAAAATTGGAAGGGTAAAAATGCGAGAAAGACAGGAAAATAACTGAGAAGTTGTAAGGTCTGTAGCTGCCTGAAACAGCAATAAATTGAATTGTAGAGTAATTGTAACATTATAACTTTTAGGTAGTTATAAATATGGAATAAATGCTGTAGTATATAAAAAATGTGTATCACAAAAATACTAGCAAATATAAATAAAGTATTTCAAATAAACCGATTTTACCAATGACAGTGACTCATAAAATTAATCAAATCGCCTATGCTTTACAATAGATCACATGTTTTTATCATTTGATATTAGTTATATCAACTCCATTACTAACTTAACTAAGATATTACTTAACAATTTATTACTTACTCAACATTACTTAACTAAGATATTACTTGGGAGGTGAATTTACAAAAACTACAAAAAAACATTTTTTTTTAATTTTAAGAAGAACAAAAATTTTCTTTTTTTAAAACATTGATCAATATTATGAGTTGTTAACTTTTAATATTTGGTAAAGCTCCATTTCCCATTGATTATGGCACAGATCCGTCTTGGCATACTTTGTACCAACTTCTTACATTGTTGTGGTGTGATTTGATTCCACTTGGTCACATTTTCTCACAAAAGCTGCATGGTGTATGCTGAAGGATTAACATCAGTGACAGATCTCATCGGCAGCACCCAGAGATATAGGTTTTAAAAGGTGGAGATTGTGGTGGCCATTCTAAAAAATTATACCTATTTTCATAAAGCCATGTTTTGTCATACGATCGGTACATTTATAATTTCTGGAAAAGAATGTCCATTTTGTGTTTATTGAGCTTTCTAAGGCTTCCTATCGAGTGACACTTTAAAATGTCAAAATAGTCGACTGCAGATATTCTCCCTTCTATTTTCTTAATGAAACCACCCATGTCATGAAGCATCCCCATACAATTATACTTTGCCATCAGATTTAAATCTATTAATTTTGGTTTCATCAGACCATACAACATTTGACCAATCATTTTCAGTGTAGTAGATGTATTGTTTTGCTAATCTTAGTTTTTTGCCTATCTGCTAATAGTGGTTTTTTATTTTTGCCCTTCCTCGCAAGCCAGCTTCCCTCAAGACAGGGCGAACTCCTTCAGCACTGATGTCGATATTATCAAACCACCAAAGCTTTTGTTGTATTTGAACGGCATTATCAACTTCGCTTGAATGAATAATATCGCGCTTGAAGGCATCAGAGAATTTTCGCTTACGACTGCTCTATTCTTTTCATTCCCTCTCACATGGGTTACCTTCATTTTTTCGAATGTTACTAATAGTCCCTGCTGAGCATCCATATTTGTTACTCAAAGAACGGTGGTTTGCTCCTTTTTGAAGCTCATCCAGAATTGCTTTCTGAATATTTTCCGATATCAGCTTCACCGTAAAATCATCACAATTCAAATATTGTATTACATTCAAATTTCAAAATTGACAACAAAAATTAAAATCGCTTTTTATTTACTAATTTAGATGCTGCAGGAATTTTTAATTGTTACCACTGTTGAAGTGATTTTAATTATTAATTGTTATTTCTTGGATTGAAACTCACAAAATCGATCAAGTAGTTTTATGAGACTTTTAAAAAGGACTGATTGCATTATGTTTACAATGCAGGTAGGAAAGATTTTGAGGATTAGAATAAAAAAAAAACATATTGGATTAGGACGAATTTTTGATAGTACTGCAAACATTTGATCAATATCGTGAGTCACAGTAAGTATATTCATACGGTGTTTATGTACATTTGAATTGCCAAATTGTTAATATTGTCTTGTTATTACAGTATTCCATTCATAGTTTAATTGCCATTGTTTCATTTATTCTAAAACCTAATTTTTGTAAATTAAAAAAATAAAAACAGAATAGTCGATAATCAAAGCAACAGCTAAGGAAAAAACAATGTATAACGACAATGTACGATACAGGCAAGATAAATTTTAAAAAAATTAACTTTTTGATTCATGAAGAAATTACACAATAAAACTGTAAAAATCGACCAATTGATTTCTGATAATTATAGACCATGTAAATATGAAATTTGTACAAAATTCTAAATGAACTTTTTCCTGTGCTTTGTGAAATATCTAGTTTAGTTCAATCCTTTCCAATAAAGATAATGTAGATTCTTTCATAAAAAATATGCTAGAATTTATTTCGAATCGAACAAAATAAAACGATGCATTTGCAGTTACAATATAGACTGAAACTCCACTACAAACATAATAAAAAAACCTTTAAAAAAACAATTATCGTACGAAATAGTGTGATATTCACACTCGATAGAATATTGGATTAGGTTGGCCTTTCAGCATACCACCCCATCTCCCTTGGGTCCGCGAACGGGAGCCTTGCCTGGCGCCACGGAGGGCCTCAGCAAACTAGGCCAAGGCTTCTATCATACCCGTCAATACGATACCGTTTTTCTCATAAGAAAAACATACCGGTGGATTTAGCACGGTTTTAGAAATGATTAGGAATCCGTCACGCGTGTTTTCTACTCTAGCGGGTTGGTATTAAAAAGACAAAACGGTTGATTTTGAAAGTTTATTTTTTAAACTAACTCGAATCAAAATTTAAAAGATCGGAGAATCGATTTACTTGCATCGTCAACATTCGCAATTGTATTCACATACTTCACACTCAGTTCATTCCTACTACGATAGTTTCAATAATTGAAAATAAAATTTAATTAGCTTCGGATCAAAGTGTGACAATCAGCTTGCATCAGTTTTACCAGAATCACAAATAAAACTTGTAGTAATATCCATTGCATAGCTATTAATAATAGTTATTCACTTAAAATGTTTGATAATATTTTAAAACCTAAGAGTGGCCAACTTCAACATTTTTATTTTCTTATCTTACAAAAAAACATTTTTGAGTATAATGCAAAGAAACTGGATTCTTGAAATTCTTAAAATCATCAATCCATCCTTTATTTGTTTTGTGCATACAACACTTTCCTGAAGCTGTATTTTTATTTTTTTTATACCTGACGCTTATGCCACTACGGTCTTGCAGGCTAGAGTATGGCAGAAAGACGTAAAGAGCCAAGTCAGGCTGTTCGTCATTTTTCCTTCTACTAATGAGAATCACGTATATTCCAAGAATCAAAGAAAGCTGAAGACTCGTTTTTTTCATCATACCTGACGCTGGCGCCACTGTTTTTTTATTAAGTGCCTCAGTCTGGCAGAAAGACGGAAGTCAAGTCAGGGTATTCATCGTTCGCTTCAAAAGAAACGGTGGCTATTCATGATTGATAGCCTTAAACTTCCTAGACCTGTAGGATCTCATTACCGAAGGGAATCGTAAAAGCTAAGACAAGTAAGTAAGCAATGAGAAGCACAATGCAAGAATGAAAGGAAGCATGAAAAGATTACTTTATCTTTTTTGAGTGAACTACACTTTCCTAAGAGTGTCTTTTAATAATTTTCCTACTTTTTGTCATTCCTGACAATGGTACCACTATGCCTTTTAAGTACCACAATCTGGCAGAAGGACGGAAAAAGTCGAGTCTGGTTGTTCGTCATCTCTTTCAAGAACCTGGTGGTTATTCATGATAGTCTGATAAACTTCCAGACCTTTAGGGATCCATGCTCTCAACGTGCATCTTAGAAAAGGAGACGAGAGAGATTGAGAAGAGGCCCATTTATCAGTTTTGTGTATATAACACTTCCCTACTAGGTTGTCTTTCAAAATATTTTTACTTTTTTTCCATACCTGACGCTAGTGCCACTATATTATTTAAGTGACACAGGTAAACAGATGACAGAAGTCAAGTCGTTTTCAAAGAAACTGGCTATTCAAGATGGCCTGATTAACTTCCAGACCTTTAGGGATCTCTACTATCAACAAGCATTGTATAAAAAAGACACGGTAAGAGTGAAGTAGAAGAAAGAGCAGCAGTTTACTGACGGGGCACTACTCTATCCCTAACCATACTCCATTTAATAATGGGCATTTAAGAAAGATTGGCGCAAACCAACA